AAAAAAAAAAAAAAAAAGCCAGAAAAAAACTCCAAACCAAATCCAGAACACTCCAAGTGTGGTCCGTGGTCCTGAGCCACCACCACAAGTAGAGGGACTACAGAGGTGATCTTGGTGATCTTAGAAGAGCACTCAGGTCCACCTGCGACTGTCCCCAACCAATGCAAATTGGTCCTGGCATCCAGGAGCTAAGCAAGCACTAAGTGGCCTGGTGGTTAAGAGGCTTTACTGCTCCCTCAGAGGACCAGAACTCATTCCTGGCACCTGTCTGGTGGTTCACAATTCTGCTTCCAGGGGATCCAACACCCTCTTCTGCCCTCTGCTGGCCATATGGTACACATGCATACATGCAGACAAATACTTGTGTATCCGAAAACATAAAATAAAATATATTAAAATAAAAATTTTTAAAGATGGTAGATGCCTTTAATCCCAGCACTCAGGAGGCAGAGTGGTGCCCTCTTCTGGCGTACAGGTGTACATGCAGACAGAATATTGTAAACATAATAAATAAATAAATAAATAAATAAATAAATAAATAAATAAATAAATAAATAAATAAAAAAAGATTCCTCTCGAGTTCTTGCCCAGACTTTCCTTAATCATAGACTGTAGCCTGTGAGCTGAGGCAAATCTTTTCCTCCTCTAAGCTGCTTCTGGCCCTGGTTGTCACAACAGCAGCAAACAAACTAGAACACCTACTGTCCAGTCATCCTGAACATAAGCCTTCTATCCACCATTTTCTGCTGCCTTAGCCACTGGGAGACGTTAACCTACACTCTGTGAATTTGCTTCTCCTGGATATTTGCTCTAAACGGAACAAGTCAATGTGCTGGCTCTGTGCCCAACTTCTTCCATTTACCACAGCGCTGTCAAAGTTCAGTCATGCTGAAGTATGTGTTGTACTTTTAATGACTGAAGAGTGTTGTAGTGTATGGTGGGATCACAGATTTCAGTCAGCTAACCCACATTTGAGGTTTTTTATATATAAATTATTTTGTTGTTTTGCTTTGTTTGTTTGTTTTTACTTTTTGAAACAGGGTCTTTGTTGTTACAAACCAACCTATCTTCAAGCTCCTCATGCTCTAGCCTCAGACCTGGAAGGGCTGGCTGTGCAGGCACGCCCAACCACGCTTTCTTACTGTTGGCTATCATTGATAGCCCTGCTGTGAATGTTTGTGTATAACTTTGTCTTGAATGGTTGTTTTGGCTCTTGTGAATACATACAAATGATTGAAGTTGCTGGGTCATCTGGTAAGTCTATTTTTAACTTTTTGAAGAAACACCAGCTACATTTTTACATTCTACAGTCTGTAGTGGATCCAAGTTTTCACTGTCCTTGTTAACACTTTTCTCTTAAAATAAGAAAATAAAAGAAAAAAGGATGTGTTATCTCAAGAGTGTGAGCACTACCTAAGTGAGGTTTTGATTTGCATTTTGTAATGACTAATGACACTGGGTTTCTCTTTCATGTGACTGCTAGCCATTTGTACATTTTCTTTGTTTTGTCTTTAGGACAAGGTCACACCACAGAGTCTAGGCTGGTCTTCTCCTCTTCCCTTCCCCTCCTCCACCTCCTCTTCTTTTTGTGTGTCCTTGGCTGTCCTGGACTTACTTTGTAGACCAGAGGCTGGCCTTGAACTCACAAAGATTCGCCTGCCTCTGCCTCCCCAGCACAGGAATTACAGGCGTGTGCCATTGCACCTAACTTGGTCTTCATTTCTATGCCCACCTCACTTGTGTATATCCTTGGGGGGAAAGGTAGCCGTTAAAATCTTTCTTTCTTTCTTTCTTTCTTTCTTTCTTTCTTTCTTTCTTTTTTTTTGAGACAGAATCTTGATGTTAGCTGGTCTTGATCTCCTACAACCAAAAAAATCCTACTGCCTCAGACTTTTGGGTAGCTGGATAGCTCATGCTATCTCACTTATATGCTTATTTATTATTATTTTGGTGATACTGGGAATCAAATTCAGGATCTTGAAAAAACTATGGAAATGTCTAACCACTGAACTATACCCTAGCCTTTGCTTTAAATGTTTCAAGAAATTGAAGAGTAAAGAACATTCCCACTTGGACTAGAGAGACTGTTCAGTGGTTAGAGCACTGGACACTCTTCCAGGGGACCAGGGTTCAATTCCAAGCACCCACATGGAAGCTCATAACTCTCTGTAACTCCAAGACCTGACGCCCTCACACAGACGTACATACAGGCAAACCACCAATGAACATAAAATAAATTATTTTTAAAATGAACATTCCCACTTAACTCACTCTGTGCTGAGTAATACAATGATACAAAAAACAAAACACATAACAAAATAATGAATCTCTTGAGTCTAGGATGGTGGCACACATCTTGAACCCCAGAACTCAGAGGTAGAGGCAGGCAGATCTCTGTGAGTTTAGAGGCCAACCTGGTCAGAGTGAGTTCCAGGACAGCCAGGACAATGCAGAGAAACCCTGTCTCAAAACACAAAACAAAGCAAAAAAAAAAAAAAAAAAAATCAATGTGAGCTGAGCACAGTGGCAGTTGTCTTTAGTCCTGGCACTCAGGAAGTAGAAGTACGCAGATCTCTATGAGTTCAAGGCGAGCTTTGTCTATATAGCAAGCTCCAAACCAGCCAAGGCTACATAGTGAGGCCTTGTCCAAACACACAAAACTGAATATAAAAAACCTCCTACAAAAATACAGTTAGCCTGGCCAGGCGTTGGTGGTGCACACCTTTAATCCCAGCACTCGGGAGGCTGAAGCAGGCAGACCTTTGAGGCCAGCCTGGTCTACGGAAAGAGTTCCAGGACAGCCAGAACTATGTGAAGAAACCCTGTTGTGAAAAAAAAAAATAATTAGCAGTACAACAAAAGGATTATACGCCAGAAACTGGAGGGGTTGTTCCTGGAATTCGAGGATGGTCCTACATCAAAAAATCAAGAAGTCAGGCGAAGCGGCCCACACCTGTGGTCCTAGCACTCGAGAGGCCTGAGGCCAGGGAGCTGCCATGACCCACACCAGAGCTCACGGAGAGCACAGGCTGTCTGAATAGAAAAAAACAGAGAATGGGGATGGGTGTCCTTGGAGCTACGTTTTGTCTTGATTGTTTCTCTGCTTCCTGCCCACCACGAAGCAGCCTTTACCACACTCTCTGCCAGGACACTGATACTCTATCTCACTGTGCAGAGGTCCACAAGCATCCGTGGGCTGAAGCCAGCAGCCACGAAGCTCAGATCTCTTCAAGTCGTTTCCTAAGTATTTTTTCACAGTGGCAAAAAGTGATCAAGAGAGATGAAGAGCTGGATGCAGTGGGCCACGCCCGTAATCCCAGCACTGTGGAAGGCAGATGCAGGCAGATCTCTGTGAGTTTGAGGCCAGCCTGGTCTACAAAGCGAGTCCAGGACAGCCAAGTCTACACAGAGAAACCCTGTTTTGAAAACAAAGCAAAACAAACCAAAAACAAAAACATAAACAGGTACAATGGCAACCAAAAAACTTAGGTTCAGTGAGTGATTGACCCTGCTTCAAAGGAATTAATGGAGAGTGATAAAGACACTGGTCTCTTCTGGCCTCTACATACACATGTGAACACACACACACACACACACACACACACACACACACACACACAAATAAATGATACTTTAAAAAAATTATTTAGGGGGCTGGAGAGATAGTTCAGCAGGTAAGAGCACTAACTGCTCTTCAATTCCCAGCATCCTCATAGAGGTCACAACTGTCTGTAAATCCAGTTTCAGGGGACCTGGCACCCTCACACACATACACAAGGCAAAACACCAGTGTACATAAAGTAAAATAAAAATAAGTCTTTAAATTAGAAAATAAAATTGTGTGTATGTTCGTCTGCATGTGTATGCAATGCCCACGGAGGCCAGAAGAGGGCGTTAGTGCCAGCAAGCTACGGGCAGCTGGAAGCCCCGAGATGCCAGGGTTTGGAGCTAACTGCTCCTGGGCCATCCCGGAAAGCAGCGAGTGCTTTCAGCCCCTGAGCCATCTCGCCAATCTTTAACAAAAAAGCACAGGTGAGCTGACGGAGAAAGCACTCCCTAGTTGCAGAAAGCAGAGCACCGCTGTCCTGGGGGTGGGAGGACGCAGAGAGAAGCTGACTGAGAAAGGAAGCCTTTCCGGTGAAGCTGTGCTTCGTTTCTGCACTGGGCTCGTAGTTACACTCATGGCGCAGAGCCTTCGTTGTGCTTGACGGTTGTGTTCAAGCTGCTGGGGTGGAAAGCACAACAGTCCCCCTGAGGTGGTCGTTTCTGCTATGCCATCAACCTGCCAGGCAAGGTGTTCCCACTGGGGATGGGAGCGCAGGCTGCTCCTGCAGGAAAGCTGAGGCATCTGGGTCTTACACCTCTGGCCTCTGTAGGCTCCTGCGCACACCTGCACACGCCCATACACAGACACATATAAAACAAGCGTATCACTTTAAAAAATAAGTTTTAAGAAAGCATTCATGAAGCAGAAGCAGGTGGATCTCTGTGAGTTTGAGGCTAGCCTGGTGTACATAGCAGGCTCAAGGTCAGTCAGGGCCACATAGCAAGGCCCTGACTCAAACAAAACAAAACAAAACAAAACAAAACAAAACAAAACACAAAGGAAGCCAACTCTGGCAATAGGCAGGGACACCTTGGTGGTGGTGGTGTTCTTACATCAGTCAGGGGCAGAGTAGATGGTCCTTTGTCCATCCTAGCCTGTTGCCTGACTTAGTGGCCAAAGCTGTCTTATGCAGTTTCAATATACAAATATTGACTACCAAAGAAAAAGGCAGTTTTACTGCGGAGAAACCAGGCTCCCCATTAACTGAGAAACGTGAACCTAACGGGACAGATTCTGCACTGAGAACTTGGCGTCACTTAATCTGAATAACTAAAGAAATGTAAGATCTCAAGTCGAGGCGCAAAACAATCGACTCCATGACCGTCGATGTCAACAGACACAGAGAAAGAGGAGCCGTGGCTGGTTTCAGGGGATCGTCAGACAGGTAAGGCGGCGGGGTGAACGGGCCTCTGCTGCACGCACCGGGGCGCGCAAGCCTTTCCCGGCTTCAGTTCCCTCCTCTCCCGTAGGAAGAGGACGGCCGCGTCACGCAGCTCGCAAAATCGGCTCGGGGAGAAACTTTCTGCGAACCAGCTCTCAGCCCGCGAGCTCCGCCGGAGCGGGCTGCCCGGAGGTGGGAGGCCGGGCCCGAACCGAGGGCGGGGCCGCCGCCGCGCCCCGCGGGCTCCGCCCCGGCCGCTGGCGTCACCACATTCCCGCCGCGGCTCCTCCCGCCGCCGCCGCCGCGGTGACAGGCGAGCCGGGCGGGTGACGGGAAGTGCGGGCCGCGGGCGCGGGCGGGGAGGTGACAGCAGCACGCGGGGAAGATGGCTGAGGACTTCGGCTTCTTCTCGTCGTCGGAGAGCGGGGCCCCCGAGGCCGCCGAGGAGGACCCGGCCGCCGCCTTCCTGGCCCAGCAGGAGAGCGAGATCGCCGGCATCGAGAACGACCCCGGCTTCGGGGCACCTGCCGCCAGCCAGGTGGCCTCCGCGCAGCCGGGGCTCGCGAGCGGGGGTGAGTCAGCGCGGCGGCCTGGAGCCCGGGGCCGCGGCCGCTGCCGGGGGCCGGAGGCCCAGCCTCGCTCACACCGGCCTGGGTGCCGGCGGGGGTCCGAGCCCGGCCATCTGGGCTGACCAGGGGTAGCCCGGGGGGCGGGGGGCAGGCTGCGTGTGTCCGTGGGGCCTGGGAAAAGAGGGAGGAGCCGGGAAGTGAGCCGGGAGTCTGCGCTGAGACTGGATCCACTGACTCCGGGGACAGGAGTTTAGTCATGACATTTCATCCGCAGGCCAGCTCCTCCAGTGTCTGGCCTGGAACCCTCCCCTGCTTGGTTCTGAGAGTCGTTCTCGAGGCCCAGGGTCCTAGCCAAGTGGTTCTGGTGTGGAACGAACACAGTCCCCACCCAGGGCTTAGCGTTCATTCTCCTGCAGGGAAGCAGGGGCCTCCAAGAACCCGCAGCTCTTCCTCGGGGACCACCTGCCGTTCTGCCGCGGTGGAGACATGTTAATTACACTTAATAATTTCGCACACATTACTGAACGCATTTCAGAACTGGCTACAGGAAGCCTCAAAAGGTACACTATTAAAACAGCTAGGAAGCGGCGGTCAGGAATTAAACCCCTTCTGTCCGATTCCGCGTCCTTCCTGTCCAGACCACATTTGCCTGACTGTTAAGTCTGGGCAGCGGCATAAAGGGCCAGGAGTCCTGCCCTCCCTGTTGTAACTGTTTGTTTAGTGGATCTACCAACGTGGGCCAGGACCTCTGTGGATAGCTTCAGACATGAGGGCTTAGGGCCTGTTGCCTGCAATGTTTATCATTGATACTTCTGACCCAAGGAACAATTTCTTATAAATATATTTAAGTAAAATGTGGACCTTCCTGGTTACACTCCTAATAGGCCTTGTTTCTTATTTTTGTTGCAATTTTAGAGAGGTCTAATAGGTCTATTGCAAGTAAGTCTTATGTGTACCTGTTCACAAAGCTCTGTAACAGTCATAGTTCTTAAATTTGGCATTCTGCTATGCTGCCATCCCCGCTGGGGACACAGAACGAAGCCACATCTGTGGCTGAAGGGTTCACTCAACTCTGCCATGACTAATGTCATGAGCCTTTTGTAACATATGAGAACCTGGAGTTTGCGGGGTTATCAGGATGGCACTTGAGCCTGACTCCTGGAACCTGTGTGGTAGAGAGAACCCACTCCCACAAATTGTCCTCTGACTTCACACACACACACGTGGGCATCCTGTAGGCACACACATGCACAAGTAAATAAAATATAAATAATTCAAGAGAAGAAATTGGAGTTTGAGTATCCTGCCTAGGGCCACACAGCCATGAGTGATAGACCTGGGGCTTGGTTTCAGGCCTCCTCGCTCCATACTCTATGTTTTCCTAAAGACCAACTGTGCAGGCCTCCCTAGGAGGCGGCTGGACGTGGCAAAGCGAAGCAGGGGCCTACCAAGCCAGCCACACAGGTCTGAAATAGTGCCGTCTGTCCACAGGCCCTTCCTTGTCCCGGGAACCTGCCTGGGTGCCTGCGTGGAACTCATGGGTGCACAGTTCCCCTGGGAACAGCTTGTCCCTCAGCAGGAGGTCCCAAGTTGTTAGACACTCACAAGGAAGACAGATGCAGCTCAGGCCGAGGATACCCATGAGGGCCTGGGACTTAGCAAGCTGTTTGTCCTGGGGGCTGACAGTCTGGATGGGTACAGCACTGCCTGGCTCTGGGTATGGGGGGACAAATATGGTGCTAGCCCTTAGGGGAGCTGCCAGGCACACAGCCCTCTGAGTGTCTGCCAGACTCCTACATTTGATGCTGCAGGTGTCCAGCTGCCCTCCTGAGAGGCAGTTTGGGGAACAAGGAGGTACTTCAGGAGGGGGCTCAATGGGTGTTCAGGTGTGAATAGAACGGACCTGATTCTCCTAGGCCTAGACAGTGCTAGGCATCCTCCTTTGGGTTGCAGGGAGTGGCAGGAGCCTGGGTGGTCTGGAGGAAAGGGCTGGGGCCTTCTGGGAGCTGGAGAGAAGCTGCCTCCAGCAGCAGCCAGCAGTGCACACCTCTGAGTCACCTCCCCTCAGACAATGAGGTGTTCTGACAGCAGCACCTGTGCTGAATTCGCTCCTGCTGACTCTCTGGAGGCCCTGGCAAAGCTGTGTCTGGTGTAGGCGGGAGCCTGAGCCCGGCTGAGTCTTCTTTCCGGGTAGATCTGCAGCCAGCCTGAGCCATGGACACTTTGTTTCCATTCATCAGCCTTGGGCACTGCCCAAATGGTCTACGCTTTCACACCCAGTTCTCCAGGCTCTTGGCCTGACTGTGATGTATGGGCCAGCTCTGTGTAATCCTGTTGCCTCTGCGGGCCTCAATACGCTCACAGGAATGTTCTGGATCCTTTGCCCTTATTCCCAAATGGGCCAGGCATCCGAGGAGGCCACACAGCTTAGGACTTGTATTTGCTCTCTTCGTTCTGTGGGCCCTGTTGTGCACACGGGATCATGAATGTGCAATAGTCAGGTAATTCAGACTGGTAATTCCGTAGGTGGGTGTGTCCAGTCCCAGAGAGGCTAACAACACTCCCGTTTTTCTGGAGGCCAAGGTGGGCACCAGGAAACTCAGTGGCCTTGTCAGAGAGGGGTCTGCTGGGGGCAGATCAGGTTGAAGAGAGGTAGATGGACTTCTCCAAAAGGCTGTTCCTACAGGCACACAGCATGAGGAATGGACCCTGGCGAGATAAGGCTGAGGAAGAGGCTACCACTCATTACCCTTTTGGCATCACCCTCATTTAGAGAGCAGCCCCCTGCCCCCCACACCTCAGATGGTGAGAGCTATTGCAGTGGATCAGGATTAACCCCTGCTTGACCGTAAGTAAGTTATCATTGATATCTACGGCAGCTGACTGACAGGGGTTAAGAATCCCCCTTCAATCCTTCCTGGCTAAGCCAGAATCACGGTTGCCCCTCACGGTTGTCCCACCCAGGACTAACTGTCCTGTGGTGACCACATTAGGCCTGCTGTGGCTCACAGCTAGGAGGCGTGGCAGTTTCAGAAAGGCCTTGCCAACTGCAATGAGCCCCAAAGAGCAATCCAACTCTCATTTGGCCAACTGTCTCTGTCTACCCATTCTATGCAAGAGCCCTTAGCTGGAAAAAAAAATGCATTCAGAGCCTGGTAAAGGGTACATGTTCCCAGGCATGCCAAGTCAGAGTGGGACACCCATGTAGTATTATGGCATACCCCAGAGATAAGGCCTTCTTTTAGTGCCTGAGGAAGCAGGCTAAGGTTCCAGTAGTACCCTTGCACACCATTAAAAAAAAAAAAAAAAAAAAGAGAAGAGTTCATTTGTTTATTCAGCATCTAGTGAGACTGAACTTGTAGAAAGGCCCAGGTCCCATGCATGGGCGTGGCTCTGAAGAAGACAGCCAGCCACTCTTCCAGATGTTTGCCAGATGTAGGAGGACAGACCAGCCAAAGTGGTGGTGCAGGTATGAGATGCCAAGGGTCCAGGCTGGGCTGGGTATCGGAGTGAGTAGGAGGCATAGTGAGGGGCAGGGCTACAGCCGAAGCTACAGGTAATCTGTGACTAACTGGATGTTGGACCAAGGGATTGGGAGGAGTCACAGTGAAGGCAAAGGGAAACCTTGGGATGGGCACAGAGAGGAAAAATAGGCCAAGTGTTGCCCAGGGGGAGCTGTGAGGCCTGCTCTCCCAGGCAGAGCAGTTGCCCAGGGTTCCAGCAGGACATGCAGAGACACAGCCCCCTCTCCTCCTCATCCCTGCTGGCCTCTCCCTAAGCCTGCAGTAGCCATGTCTGCTTACCAGGTCCCGGCTCCACAGGTAACTTCAGGAGGGTAAGGAACAGTGCAGTGCCGGCTGATCTAGAGCAACTGCAGTAGCCTTTCTGAGCCTCTACTTGAGGCTCTGTGAACTGGCCACTGACAGCTTCTTCCTAGGGGTGTGGTAAATACTAGCCTTGACAGTGGGTACACACGGGAACACTCTGGGCCCGAGCCTCAGCTGTTTATATAGCCATTATATCTGAGGGGGATGCACAGGTTGGCTCCAGAGCTAAAGGAGGACCATTTTGTGCTTGTAAGCTGGACCATGAATGATGCTGTCTGCTTGCTCTTTCCAGCTGGTTCTGAGGACATGGGGACTACAGTCAATGGAGATGTGTTTCAGGTAAGCAGAGGTGGGGCTGACTGCCTCAGGCTCAGTCACTTGTGTCTCCACTGGGGGTCATTTAGGGCTGTTTTCTTGTCATGTTGGGGAGACAGTGACTGAGGAGTTGTTCAGATTGTCCTCACGGGTATCCAGCTTCAGGAAGGAGTGGCATGGGATGAAGGACATCGGAGCTCTGCCTGAGCAGGCGCTTCCCACATCCCACACCCGTGAGTGCTTTTACTCTTTGATCAGGAGATTAGGCGTGGAATTTCCCCGGAGCAAACAATTGGGAAAATATACCGATTCTCAGCAGGATGATTTGTAACAGCAGACAAACTAGCAGTAATGTAAATGTCCAGACTCAGGGCCTTGGTAGACAGTTACAAAGGGCTATCAGAACCCCCTGTCCCTTATGCATGTCCTTATTAAAGTGACTTGCAGAATGAGTGATGTGCCATTACTTTTTACATTTTAAGCGTTTGCACAAAAAATGTTTGGAAAAAGCATTGCAGTTGTTAATGATGGTTGGCCCTGAGCATGAGAGGCCCGGGCTTCCTGTTTCCACCACAGGGACTGACTGGTAGGGATGGATGGGTAGATGGAGGGTGTTCTACTTAAGGATAGTCTGGGATGGGGCTCAGTGGAGAAGCTCTGAGTTAAATCTCTAGTACCACAGAAAATGGAACAAAACACAGCACACAGACTGATAGAGTGTGGGAGCCAGTGGCATCCCCCAGAACCCCACCTAGGTGCAGAGAACCCTGACCTTTAGGTGGGGCTTGGCCTCCACTATGTCAGGGCCTGCAGCTTCCGGATCTCCTGAGCCCCACCCTGCGGAGGAGTTGGCCTCTTGGATTCTGGGAGAATAAACAATACTTTCTTATGTAACTGGGAGGGGTTCGCCGTAACACAGGAAAACTGGCCTAGCCCCATTTCTGGAAAACTACTTGACAGACAGTGAGCTAGAATGGTCTCTTCCTGGGACCCCCTCGGCACCATGCCCAGTTGAGTGCTGCAGAGCTAAGGAGTAAGTGTTATTTTTGTCCTGTTAGAACTTCTGACAGGCCATTTGTGGGCTCTAGGCACATTCACAAGGACTTTAGTGGCCCCAAAGGTCTTTATTGTGAAGTGGACATGCTGCAGCAGCACTTGGAACTGCAAGAGTGTCTCTAGAACATTCTGAGCAGCATCCTCTCTTCAGCTGAGAAGCCTGAGAGTCGCAGGTGCTGAAGAGCCTACACAAGTCCACAGAGCGACACCAGTGGGCTTGAGTTTTCCTCACTTGAGTGCGGTGGCTCTCCTGCCCTCTCCAGCATCCCAGTCCACCTGAGGGTGTGCAGTCTCAGCAGTATTCTTCCTCTTGCTATCACAGCGCCCTGAGGCATGGAGCTCTGTGAGTCACAGCACTCTCTGGTGCTGCCCTAGAACACCCCCCACCCCCCCCCCCCCCCCCCGGGCAAGGGAGGCTCACAGAAGAGACAGTGCCTTTGATTTAGCTGCAAAGCTCCTTCCAGCCTGCATGGTATACTCTCTGAACTGGTCTTTGGTCTGCTGATGGATCCTACTATTTGTAGGAGGAGCATAGCAGTATGTGGTTCAGGGACAAAAGCCTTGATCTGTGCAAACTCGGCACATCCCAGGGACAGCCTTGCGCCTTAGTCTTTCGTAGACTACCACGTAGGTGACCCTCAGCACAGCCTGAGGGTAAGCCTGCCAGCACCATGCCAGCTACTTTGGCGCCATGGAGGATGGAGAGGGACAGGGATGAAAACCCCCTGTAGGACTCATCCCCCCCCCTTCTTGCCGCTGTTCTCCCCTCCTATGAGCTACTTAGGGGACTCAACAGCTCAGCCCAGCTTAGCTTGAGCTGTTCAATCCTGAGAGCCTCGTCATCCGGCCGTGGGGTTTATCATGCACTTGGCTGGCATCAAAGCCCAGAGGCTTTCAAAGTGGAATCCAACAGAGAAGCCCCCTCAGAGAGGGGGGCCAGGAAGGCTGGGTGGCAATCAGCTGGCCTGTCAGTGGCTTGCTTTCTGCTCCTGGCTATAACCAGCCCTTTCCTCAATGGAGCTTTGGAGGAGTTCAGAGTGCTTCTTCAGATACTAGTATGGCCACTGATACCCTGGGCTGCTAAACCTCGTGGAAGTGACTGCATCTCCTACCTAGGAGGCTCAGATGGGCATGGGTGAGCCTCAGTGTGGCCTCTGATGCTTACTGGCTCAGGCAGGAAAACAAACCCAAAGCAACTGGGAGGAAAGCCAGTGAGGTATCTCTTGGGGCCTGCCTGCCAGCACCCCTGCTGTGCTCACACAGACTGGGAATGAGTGGTCTAACCGCATGGTGACTGCTGCGCAAGGCAGTCTTTTTCATATGCATGGACCGTGGGGTGACGTCCATGGCCATTACTTTCTGTGAGCTTTACTAGGAACCTTGAGTGGGACACTGTCACCCTCACTTCACAGGTCTGAAATCAGAGTTGCCCAGGGAAGGGATTTTTCTCAACAGTTATCACCCAGCGCCTGGCAGGATAAGCACTCTAAGCCAGGCCTCTCTGCTACAATGTCCAGCGCCTTTCCTGGGCCCTCGCCTGCCTTTATAATCAACCATTTGTTCACTTCTCAACACCCATTCTTTGTGGGCAGGGCCAGTGCTGCGGTGGTGGGTGTGAGGCAAAGCCAGTGCAGTGTTTGTCCCCAGAGTTTATGACTTATGGAGCTCAGAAACCTGGAAAGAAGTCACTATAGCCCAGGAGCCTGGATTTAGGGTGATGCCCAGACATGAGGGACATAAGTTCAAGGCTAGCATGGGGCACATTTTGAGGCCTTTAAACAAAGAAACAAAAAACTTAACAGCCTGAGTTCTTTATAGGGATTAACCTACTTAATCCTCCCAATACCCCATTACGCAGTTTCTTTTATTATCCTCATTTGCTCAAGGAGATTGAATAGCTGTTCTAGTTACACAGCTTGAGTGACTTCAGGAGGTAAAGTCTGGAAGCCTAACAGGGGAGTAACACAGTGTGTTTCCCTGCTGCCTAGGGAGGCATTGCTGGTTCTGGCTGAGGGAACAGAAGGTAAGACACTTGGCTCAGGGCTCATCCAGAGTCCCTATGGAGTCTGCTGTACAGAAGGACGTGTTAGGAAAGCCCCAAGAGGCCACAGACCCAGTGCTGATAGCATTGCCTAAAGGGGAGTCACACAGAACTCTCAAACAGGGCGTATCAGCGGCCTCTCAGGTAGTGTAGCAGGGGCTCCCAGCCTGGGCCTGAGACAGGCCACGTCTATTTCCGGGGTGTAAAACTGCTCCAGGGCTGCCCAGGCTTCATACCCAGACCACAGGCAGCAGTGGAAGCCTAGACTTCATTTTCTGGCTTCTCCTAGATGATGACCTTGGATTAACTTAACCTTTCTGAGCCTGGTTTCTCATTTGTAAAATGGGGATTCAAGGCTTTGCCCTGCTGTTCGCACAGAGTTGTTGGGAAAAGCACATTCTAACCACGACAGCTTCTTGTAAATTACTGACTTGTCTACTCAGTACTCAGTGAGCTAAGGAGTAGACTGGGGGCAGGAAACAGGTGTGCATGTGTGTGTGTGTGTGTGTGCGCGCGCGTGTGCCTCTGTGTGTGTGTGTGTGTGTGTGTGTGTGTGTGTGCGTGCGCGCGCGCGTGCACATGGTGTATGTGTGTTATGGCGGCAGGCAGAGACACTGAAGGGACAACACCTCTCATCTTGAGGTCACTTAGCACAGCCAGGGTGTGGCTGGGTGGTAGGCTTTGTCTAGCAGGCTAAGGCCCTGGATTCAGCACTGCGGTGACTGGGCACAGAACAATGGAGGAGACAAGGGCAGTACAAGAACCACACCACACAGAAGCAGCATGTTCCTGTTAGCTATTTTATAGCAAGGATGTACACACCCACTTATTCACGTTGAACCTGGCTCTGTCACTTGCTTGCCAGGGGTGACCATGGTACTTTGGAATGAGATTCCCCTTACCTATAAAACAAGGGCAATAAACACCTTCCAAAGCCAGGGATAGTGGTGCACGCCTTTAATTCCAGCACTCAGGGAGGCAGAGGCAGGTGGATCTCTGTGAGTTTGAGGCTAGCCTGGTCTACAGAGTGAGTTCAGAACAGCCAAGGCTACACAAAGAAACCCTGTCCCCTGCCCCCCCAAAAAAACCACAAACACACACAAAAGACAAAACAACCTTCCCAGTGGAATTATAAAGATCAAAGACATCTATTTAGACACAAGTGCTCTGGAACCTAGCTAGGTTAGGGAGCCTGCCCAGAGGAGCTTCTCCAGCATTTCTTTAGGCCACTTTCTCCGGCATGTCAGCACCTATGTACTTAAGAGTTTCCCAAAGGCATCTGCCCTGCTTGGTCCTCCAGCATGCTGGGTTTTTGCCTATGATGCCTTTCCTCTGTCCTTCCTGTTGTCTGCCCTCAGGCAAGAATGGCCATGCCATTTTTTGTCTGGTCTCTCACCTGGCCTGGACTACAGTACACCCATCAGCTGTGAGGGACTCCCTGTCTAAAGCAACCAGAAGACAGGCTGTCTTGTCCATCCCTGTCCAAAAGCACCTAGACATATACGAATTTAATCTTCCCCTGTCTGCTGGGTTGTGCTGGGGATTATACTTGAACCCACAGTCTCATGACTGTTCGGGACATACTCTATCATTGAGTTATGTCCTGAGCCTCAGTAACCCTCCCCATCTAGGCCTTCCAGCTCTGGATGCTGTGTGGAGGCAGTCAGTCACTGGCCAGAAGGCTAAGGGGGAGTGGGAAAACAAGCAAGCCATTCCAGACAATAACAAGTGCTGTGATGACAATAAAATCAGCTGAAATCTACAGGGGACTGATTCTAGAACCCCAAAATATAAAATATAAAGATCCAAGAATTCAAGTTATTTAATAAAATGGTAAAGTATTAGGGTTATGGAACACTTCCAAGGCCCTGGGTTCAATCCCCAGCTGTGTGATTGAGGGGAATGGCATAGTATTTGCATGTAGCCTACACACATCATATCCTATATATGATACTATTTAGGAAAAAAAGACAGAAACAAAACTCTGCATATGTTCATGGAAGAGGCTGCTGTTGTAGAAATAACTATAGTGCAGGCTCAGTGACCTCAAGGATGAGCAGATTCAGAAGGAAATTGCTCAGATAAGCACTGCAGTCCAGGGCGGTGGCAATGCCTTTAATCCTAGCTCCTTGGAGGCTGAGGTGGGAGGATCCAAAATTCAAACCCAGGGCTGGGGAGATAGTACAGTGATTAAGAGCACTGACTGCTCTTCCAGATGGCTAGGGTTCAGTTCTCAGCAGCACATGATCGTTTACAACTGTCTGTAACTCCAAGATTTGACATTGTTACACAGACATACATGCAGGCAAAACACCAGTGCACATACAATATAGATAATAAAAAAAGAAAATCCTTTAAAAAATTCAAGGCCAGATTGGATAACTTAACCTGACCCTGTCTCAAAACAGGAAGGAAAGGAGGAAGGAAGGAAGGAAAGGAGGAAGGAAGAAAGAAAGGAAGGCAGTAGCAGCAATATGGTTCATCTGAAGGCACTAGTCCTCAGTCCTGATGAGCTAAGTTTATCCCTGGGACCTACATGGTAGAAGAACTGATTCTTGCAAGTTGTCCTCTGACCTCCATACTTACACCATGGTGTGTGCATACACACATAAAATAATAAATATAATTTAAAAATAAAAAGACTGCTCACTTCGGCAGTACATATACTAAAATTGGAAGGATACAGAGAAGATTAGCATTGCCCCTTAAAAAAATTGAGAAGGGCTAAGGATATAGGCACTGTTCTGTGGGAAGACATTAAACAACAGCAATACTGACAGTTGGGCAAATGCTGGAAGGAGCACAGGGATTGGAGACCGGGGGAGTTAGGGAGCTTTGGGTAGACAGCAGAGCTAGAGAAGGCCGTGGTGGGAGCACTGGGATGGAGAAGCCTGGAGTGTAAGGGCCTGGAATGTTCTGGGAGGAGGTGGGTCCCAGGTGGACATGCACATGATAGAGATTTCAGCGGCTGAGGGGCGGAGTTGGGTCAGTGCCCACAGCAAAGTAGAGGGCCAAGCACCAGCCAGGCATGGTGGCAGAGCCCACACTTTCACCTTTAGAAAGGCTCTCTCAGACCAGAGGTGTCCCATCCACACTGACCTAACATTTCTGTCCCAAGCTCTAGCAACTCTTGTCACCAGAGCTGAACCACACTAACCACCTCTGTCCACCTCTCTTGGCCTTAATGTTGCTTCTGTACAATGGGAATGAAAAATGACAGTAATGGGCTAGCAAGATGGCAAAGCAGGAAAGGCACTTGTTGCCAAGCCCCAGGGCATGACCAGTCTCAGAACCCATCTCAGAAGTAGAGAACCATTCCCTTAAGCTGTCCTCTGACCTCTACACTCAGGTCCTCTCTGCAGATACAAGTAAATATTTTTTTAAAGATTTATCTATTTATTATTTACATAGTACTCTGCTTGCTTGTACACCTTTGTACCAGAAGGGCCATCGTGTGGTTGCTGGGAATTGAACTCAGGACTTGTGGAAGAGCATCCAGTGCTCTTAACCTCTGAGCCATCTTTCCAGCATACAAATAAATAAATGTAATTAAAGACAAAGAATAACAGTCCTAATAGCACCCACTGAGCTATCATTCTGGGGCACTCTTCCGTCTTACAAAGGGTTTAGGATGGAAGAGGGCTTGCTGAACACGCACCATTTGGGTTTCATCAATGCAATGGAATACAACGCTCATAAACCTGGCTTAGTGGCACACACCTGATTCCTGCGCTCTGGACGTGGGGTTGGATAATGAGAACTTCAAGGTTATTTCCAGATATAGAGCAAGTTCTCAGCCACCTTGGGCTATGTGAGGCCCTGTCTCTACACAGAGAAATAAATACCTGGAAAATTCCATGCGTCACACGCAGCATCGGGTGTGAGAGTCCCATTTTCATGCGGAGCTCAGCCAGCCCTGTGCACTGGTGAGTACAGCTGTACTGTCAGCAGTGGGACTGTGTGGCTTTAGGGGACAGGTTCACCACAGGAAAGTTCTGTTACTTTATTTTATGTGTAGGAATATTTTGCCCTTGTTTTCTTACTTTTTTGTCGCTGCGATAAGACACCATGACCAAGGTAACCCAGAGAGGAAAGTGCTTTTTTGGGGCTCAGTTTCAGAGGGTCAGTGTCCATAACCATCATAGCAGGCAGCAGGCAGGCAGGCGTGGTGCTGGAGCAGTAGCAGAGAGCTTACACCTTGAGCCACTAGCACGAGAAGGACAGAGCTAACTAGCAGCAAGGTGGCCTCTGAAACATCCAAGCCAGCCCCCAGTGACACACCTCCTCCTCCAGGCCACACCCAATTCTTCCCAAACAGTTCCACCAACTGGGGACCAAGCATTTAATGGTTGAGAATATGGGGGCCATTCTCTTCAAACCACCATAGCCTGTGTGCGTGTCTGTGCAGCAAAGTGTGTGTCTACAGCCACACTCTAGGTCCTCTGAGCGGGATCGACGGATCATTGTGAGCTGCCACAAGGGTGCTGGGAACCAAACCTGTGTCCTCTGGAGGAGCAGTCAGGCTCTTAACTGCCAAGCCACCTCTCCATTTGTCTCCTCCTTCATTGTCATAGCAAAGTTTTAGTTTGCTTTGTTTTTTTCAAGACATGGTTTCTCTATGTAGCCTTGGCTGGATCCCAGCCTGGATCTCACTATGTAGACCAGGCTGGCTGGAACTCACAGAGATCCGCCCCTGCCTCCCGAGCACTGGGATTGAAGGTGTGCAGCTTCAGGTGACCACCCAGCTATGGCCACGCTTTAGCCATGGTTGTCTGCCTGTGTCTGGACTGCATGTTCCCTCAGCAAGTGTCTGCTGTCTATGTGCACTGAGTTGGCTTCTGTACACAAGCAATGGACCACAACAGACCGGCCCTGCTATCATACAGGTGATATTCTGATGGACAAATGAACATATTAGTAATGAGGTCATAGCAGACTGTATAAGTCCTATCGTGTAACAGTTATAGCAGAGATAGATGTTAATGATGGCAGCACAAGGGGCTCCCCATCGTGTGAAAGGCAGATGACATTAACACTTTTTAAAGGTTTAGTTTATGTGCTTGAGTGTTTTGCTTGCATGTATGTTGGATGCATCACCTGCATGCAAATGCCTGTAGAGGCCAGAAGGTGTGTGATCCCCTGGAACTGGTGTTACAGACAGCTGTGAGCCCTGTGATGGTGCTGGGAACTGAACTGAACCATGTGAGTGTTCTTTCCCATGGAGTAATTTATTATTTATTTAATGTGCATTGGTATTTGACTGCCTGCATAGTCTGTATGAGGGTGTAGGATCCGCTGGAACTGTTACAGACAATTGTGAGCTGCCCTGTGGGTGCTGGGGATTGAACCTGGGTCCTCTGGAAGAGCAGCTGATGCTGTTACCCACTGAGTCATCTCTCCAGCTCCCCTAAACTTAGGTTTAAAACTCATCTTATTCCTGTAACACTCAGACCCTTTGGGAGTATACAGTGATCAGGCACTGAGAAGTTGAGTGGCCTGCCCAAGGCCATGTTGGGAGCCGGGCTGCTGGCAGAGAGCAATACAGAGGATAAAGATGCCGTGGTTATAAGGGCTGGGTGGTGGTGTGGGCTGAGGTTGCCTGCTGCTGCCTGCGGGTCCTGCTCTGAGGCCTGTCTTAGTACCAGTAAGAGCAGTCCAAACAGCAGGGCGGGTGTGACAGGCCAGGACACTGTGCTTATGTTGTAGGAGGCTAATGGGCCTGCCGATGGCTATGCTGCAATTGCCCAGGCAGACAGGTTGACCCAGGAGCCTGAGAGCATCCGCAAGTGGAGAGAGGAGCAGAAGAAAAGGCTGCAGGAGCTGGGTGAGGGCATCCCTGGGGGAGGGACGATTCCAGCGGGGATGGCCTCTGGGACATGCTGGGTGGGACAGAGCGAGGCAGCCTTGGAGCCTGGGCAGGCACACTCGGCTGAGGGTGGGTCCTGGGCTGCTGGATGGGGCCTGGATGGGGCAGCCAGGGTGGCTGTGTTCATTGTCCTGCTGGGCTCACAGATGCTGCCTCTAAGGTGACCGAACAGGAATGGCGGGAGAAGGCTAAGAAAGATCTAGAGGAGTGGAACCAGCGCCAAAGCGAACAGGTTGAGAAGAACAAGATCAACAACAGGTGGGCGAAGCCCTGGGACCGAGGGGTGCTGAGGAGGCTGAGGGAAACCATGGGCACATAGGAGGACACGAAGGGAGCCATGGGGCAGCGAAAGGGGCAGTGGTGGGGAAGACTGTCTTGAGATGGGCAATGTATGAAGGACATAGGAGAGAAGAGCTGTGGAGATCTGGGGTTCCTCATAGCACGCCCACTTACCAACTCCTACTCCTCTCCATGACTGACAGGAAACAGAATGGGTGCCAAGGCCCTGAGCCCTCTGTGGGCTCAGGTCTGGGGGGAGTGAAGAGCCTGAGTATCTGTGGCCATTTCTTATAGAAATGACAGTACTTCAACCCAGTGTGACTTGAGACATTAGAGGCCTATAAGGACGAAAAGGCCAGGGCAGTGGCACTGGGTGTGAACGATGTCAATCACACTCCTTCTCCTGCCACTCAGCTCTGCTTCTTTCTGCTCTGACTCTACTACTGGACATACAGCCTGTGTGGGAACAGCAGCCTTAGGCTTCTGCCCTACTGTCTTGGCAAGCCAAGTGGAAATAGCAAGTATCTAGTGGCTCCTACTGAGTTGAGCATGAGCATGAACTTGGACTATGTGCTCAAGCCAGGCCAGGAGAAGGGAGGCTCCTCTGGGACCCAGCCAGGGTGAAGGTGCCATTTGCTGGGTTGCTGTGGGGGCCAGTTTTATGCTAACCACAGGGACTGCGGTGGAAGCAGCTGACCCTGCAAAGCCAAGCAGGTTAGGGGCATGGAGTAAGCTGGAGAACACGTTTGTGGAAATGGATGTTCTCCTGCTTTGGACGCTCTTCAAGATACAAGATCCTCCCCAAAGGGAAAGACAGTCAAACTGCTGCATCCCACGCTGTGCACTGAGCCATCACACGAGGACCCTTCTGTGTCCCCAGAGTTCAGGGGAAGAGAACCACACTTGGATCCAGTGGGGCCCGTGCATGAAGACCGTAGAAGCAAAGGGGCAATTAGCTGGGGCTGGAGAAGAACCACTGTCTAGAGCAGCGGCTCTCAGCCTGTGCTCACAACTCACAGGGGTCGCATATCACACCTCCCGCATATCAGATATTTACATTACAAGTCTTACAAGGAGCAAAGTTATAGTTTTGAAGTAACAACAAAATAATTTTATGGCTGGGAGTCACCACAACATGGGCACTGTATTACAGGGTCACTGCGTTAGGAAGGTTGACAACACGGGTCTAAAGCTTGTTTTTGAGGGATGTCCACGGTTCATCAGAAAAGAAGGGCTTTTGATAAAAGGGAGAATTCTAGACCTGGGAACATCATGGTAAGAAAGAGAGGATGTGGTGTGTTGGTCTATAGGGACTCAAAGTATAGAGGTAACCGTTTTGGGAAGCAGATGGTATGTGGGAGTGTCACCAGGAGGGCCTTGGGAAGAGACCTCAGTGAACAGTAGGGAGCCATCAAAGGTACAGGACTCCTAGGTCTCTGTGGGTAACTGTCAGCTTTGAATTGTACTTCCTAACATGTCTCCTCTCGGAGGTACTAACGCACTGTTTCTCTTTCTCTTTAACCCTGTGCCTGCCTGTCTTGCTGTCTGTGTTCCCCCACCTAACTCCTTCTCCTAACTTTTTCCTCAAGGATTGCTGACAAAGCGTTCTACCAGCAGCCAGATGCTGATATCATTGGCTATGTGTACGTGTCTCCTTTGCTCTCTGCAGGGGCAGCTGTGGAGGGCGGCCCAGCATTTCAGAGTCTCTTGTCTGTGTGGTATAAATGAATGTGGCTGGGCTCAGAGCAATGGCCAGAGCAGGAGGCGACCTCCAGGACTGCTGCAGGCACCAGCCCTTGCCTTCCATCCTTCCATCTCTGTCTTTCCGGCAAACTGGAGGGAGCTCTGCCCATTAGAGTTCCCAAGTGGGGGCGGAGGACGGAACGCACTGGCCAGCCTCACATGGGAGGGGGAGAGGACAAGCAGCCCCTTGGGGATGGGTAGGTGAGATGCGGAGACCTTTTCTGGACAAACACCCAGCATAGAGTGCGGAAGGCATAAACAATGAGAGATGTCTTTATGCCTGCCCTTGCCCCACCTCTAAGCGCATGCACTTGGCCATGAGCCCCTGCCCTCCCCGGCAGCTCTCCTCCCGTGCATCTGGATTTGCAGTGTGACTGGACTGTGCCTGCTCTAGCAGTAGAGGGGCAAGCAGCCCCAGGTGATAGGTAGTGCTCTCTGGACAGTAGTATCGGGGAAGCGACAGTGAAGACAGTGATTTCTGAGAATTGTTTACTCCCTTCACACACTGCCTTACTGCTCCCGCTGGAGCTGGGTCTTCTGAACCACAGGCCTCTACCGCCATCTGCACTTGCCTCCCCTTACACCACACGGCAGCAGGTGCAGCTTTCCCTCCTGCCGCCCACCCGACCTGTACCTACATCTGGCCTGTACCTGCTGGTACTTATCCTATGCCAGTCACAGGTCATACAGAGAGAAGAGACACACAGCAGCACTCCCCTGACCCCAAGTTGCTCATGGGTTGGAATCTGAGCTCTGCTGGGGACCCAGTGTGTGTTTCAGGGGCTCAAGACCCTCAGCTGCACCTTAAGATTTAGAAATGAATTCGCTGGGTTGCAAGGGTTAACGAGGACATTTTAAGTGGAGAAGCAGCTCAGACAGCGGCCTGGAGAGGACTGAGAGGCTGGGCTTTCGGCAACGGAAGGGAGCTGAAGCTTGGGAGCTGGAATCTCTGTTGTTCCAGGCTAAGGAGCTTAGATTTGATCCTCAATGCAGTTGGCAGCCATGGAGGTTTCTAACAGGGAAAGGGTTATCTGGCAGGTGTGGTGCTGTAGAATACCACTGGGTTCAATGCTCCTATTGGGCCTAAGGAAAAGGTCCAGAGGACCCAAAAAGGCTCTGAAGGAGAAAGAGTTAGAATCAAAGACTTCCCAGCCTTTCACCTGCCTACGCATTGCCAAGGGAGCTTGAGCAAAGCAGATTCTGGTTCTGTAGAACTGAGGTGAGGCTCAGGCTGTTTCTGTAAGCTCCAAGGGGATGGCCTGCTGCTGGGCATGGCCCACAGATCAGCACTAAAGACAGAGGGGGAACCTCTTGACCCTGACAGCAGCTTCAAGGATAAAGCCTTTCACCTACACTCACTGTCTAACCCCACACAGCACAGACCTGTCACCACACTGGACACTCAGAAGAGAAGCCATGCTCCTCATCTCACATGTTAACCGAACACATAGCAGAAAGGCAAGATCACCATGGAGGGTCCTGACACTGAGCTGGACCAGTTCTTCTGGTACACAACACAGTGGGGTCACCCAGAGAGCTCTCCGTTACTCCTGACCTCTGGCTCTATAAAATCTTTCTGCCCCTTTTCCTCTATGGTCATTGAACCCTGGTGTGTGCTGAGGATGTCTCATTCATGACTGAATACTCTAAATCAGTGACTTTCAAGACTGTCAACCAGAAATTCTGAAGTGTCGTAGAATTCTTGCCTGGCATACAAGAACTCTACTGACAGAAACTCAACATCCAGTACCATCAAAACAAGCAGGCTCCTGAGGAAGAAACACCCCAGCTTTTATCCTAACATAATTCCAACTGAAGCAAAACTCCCCATAGAGCCTTGCCCAAGCTGTGGCTCCACCCAGACAGAACTGTATTGGGCTCAGAAAGTTTCTCTGGCCAGATAGCTTGAGGCGTGGAGAGTTCGCCATCCATTAGAGTTGGTAGGTGGTGGTCAGTGTCCTTTCTTGGTCAAGGTGTTGGATGTGTTAAAAATGTGTGGCTGAGGTGGAGATATAGCTCAGTGGTGGACTTACCCATCATGGTTGAGGCGAGGTCAAATCCCTAGTAATGAAAAAAGGAAGAAAGAAAGGGGGAAAATAAACAAATAAAGCTGGAGGTTCTTCTGTATCAGAAACCCCAGAGTGGAAACTCCTGATGGAAAGTTACTGAGTGAGCCAGGTGTGATGGTACCTGTAATTAACAACACCCATAATCTTTGCAAGATCAAGGTCAACCTAAGCTATGCAACTAGCATGGTCTATATGAGACCCCATTTAAGCAAGCAGGCAAGAAAGCAAGCAAACCAACCATCACCAACAACAACAACAAAAAAGAAAAGCAGGAGAGAGTGACTGGGCTAGGAAGGCCTTTCTGAGGAGGTAAAGCCTACTCTAGGAGCTAAATGACAAGCAATAAGCTGGCCAGGTGCACTGGTACACACTTGTAATCTCAGAACTGGAGAGGCTGAGGCAAGATCACTTGAGCTCAAGAGTTCAAGACCAGCTTGGGCTACATGGTGGACCACAGGCTCAAACAAAAAGCAATAGGCCATGAGACGATGACCTCTCAGTCAGAGGTGACAGTAATTTCCAAGGCCTGAGTCCAGACGACTTAAGCCACACTTAGGCCTAGGTTTCTTTCTTTTCTCTTTTTAAAGACAGGGTTTCTCTGTGTAGCCCTGGCTGTCCTTGAACTCAGATCTGCAGGTCTCTGTCTCCCAAGTAAACAAAGGTGTGCCACCACGCCTGGCTAGGCCTAGGTTTCTGATGTCTAGAGTGTTCCTGATGACTGAAGTCACAGGGCACAGGGATGGGAGATGTTTGGCTAATGTCTCAGAGTAGGCTGCATACCAGAGACTGATGGGAGCACAACCCTAGTGACTCAGGAGAAGACAACCATGAAAACCTCTGTCCTCTCTCCACCTTCAGGGCATCTGAGGAGGCTTTTGTGAAAGAATCCAAGGAGGAGACCCCAGGCACAGAGTGGGAGAAGGTAGCCCAGCTGTGTGACTTCAACCCCAAGAGCAGCAAACAATGCAAAGATGTGTCCCGCCTGCGTTCGGTGCTCATGTCCCTGAAGCAGACACCATTGTCCCGCTAGGTGTCTGCTGTAAGAATGGCCAAAGCATGGGCCTTGCTGGGGCAGAGGAGCAGCTGCTTCAGGCAGAGTGGAACTTCCTCTGGTAGTTGCCACGCACAGCCTGTTCTGCTCCTCTGTGTCTCTGGGAGCTGGGAAGTGGGACCCTACCCCTTTCACCCCTTACTCCCTGCTGGCCCCATGTTCCAGCCCCTCTCAGTCCACTCCAGTGTGACTGTCCCTCCTGATGTATTTTTCTTGGCTTAAAGGATATGTTAACTCTTTTTACACTTATTTATTATTATCCTCATTTCTCTGGAAGCTGCAACTTGTGTCAGGGCTCGGTTTGTGCTTAGAACTGTCCCAGCTTCATGTCCTAAAAGATGAGGATGTACTCTTGGACACTCAGGAGCTTTCAGCTGGAAGCAGGAACCTAACCTGTCTGTCTGCTGTCCACCCCCAAGAAGAAAGACAAACTCTCACAGAACTGTCTGTGTCTGCTGCTCCCCCTCCCCGCAAGAGGAAACATAAGCTCTCGCAGGACACTCTTACAGTGTTGGTTCTTTGTGATTCTTTAACAAGCCTGAGGATAGGGACTCTGCTCTCCTCAAAACCAAGAAAACTATGGCTCCCCAAATAGAATCTTCTTGCAGCATAGAAAAGTGGTGAGGCCAGCGTCCTCTAAGGTGGTGTCTAAGCCTGAGGATGAGGCTGGTAAATGCATCAACTGTTAGCCCTTCTTCCTTGGGAGTGACAGGGTCCTCTATGACGTGGCAGCCTGCTGCACTGCAGATGTCCCTCCCTCTTCGGGCCATTCCCTCCGTGGTCTCAGGATAAACAACAGTAACCACACCTTCCTTCCCTATAGCAGAGGTTGTAAAACAGGCCACTTAAACCATTATGATCTATACTGTGTTTAAAAAGATTTGAGTAACTGCCAACAGTATTATTAGTTCCCTGAGACTACCAATAAGAAGTATCATAAATTTCTTAGAGCATCAGAAATTTGTCTCACAGTTCTGGAGGCTAAAATTCCGTATCAGGGGAACCACTAAGCCACGGCCCCTGGAGATGCGAAGGCAGGACCTGTGCCTCTTTTCTAGCTTCAGTAGCTCAGGCCTTCCTTGGCTTACAGACACATCCCTTCAGTTTTGCCTACATCCTCACATAGCTGTCCTCATCTTCCTTCCATATATGTCTTGTGTGTCCATTTAAAAAAAAAAATATGGATACCAGTCTTACTGAATTAAAGCCCACCTTAAAGATTGTATTTTAAATATTTATGGTTATTAAATCGCTATTGCCAAGTAAGGCCTAAAGAATTGAGAGCTGGAATTCGACTTTCAAATGTATGTTAGGGTGTGGGTATCGTAACACTAACATAACTGTGGACACTGCCTTTAAAAGTGGCACCATCTTCAGCTCTTTATGCCCTGTCCTTGTGTCCTGTGGGCTTCACAATGCAGTGTTTGACGCTGACAATAAGGCTAACAGTTAAGAGCATGTTAGATCCAGGCTCTAAGTATCTTTCCTTTCTTCCCTTCGCCCAGCTTGAAGCAGGCATTCAGAGGGGTGGAGTCACTCATGAGAGGAGACCAGGTCCTCAAGTCAACACAGAGCTGACCACAGACCAAATGCCTTTGAGACTTTAGTGTCAAAAGCTGGAATGGTATGAATCAGCAGAACCTGAGGGCCCAGAGAAGGCAGAACTGGAGTAAAGTAGACAAATAGTGGCGGTGTTGCTTTGACCATCCTGACTCCAGCAGGACTGACAGGCCTCACCTAAAGCCACAGAGAAGTGCCGACAAAGCCCCCATCCCCACCCCATCAAACAGCTCCAGTTTTGGCCCACTGAATAGAATCCCAAGGACAAGCATCTGGGAATCTCTTTTAACTGGTGCCCCCAGTGATGTGACTGTTACTAGGAAAGTTTAGATGGTACCAGGCTCTATGTTCCTCTCTCACAATGAATCTAGAGACCTCATAAAGACTGCATTTTGTACCACTGAGCTGTATCCCCAGACCATTTAAAAATTTTATATAGGGTCTCAATAAGTTACTCTAACTTACTTTCACTACGTTACAGGCTGACCTTGAATTCTTGAAATCACTCACAGGCAAGATTCTTCTTCCTCAACCTTCAGAATAGTTGAGGTTATAAAAATCAGGCTTATCCTGATTTCTAAAGACCAATCCTTAATTTCCTAAAAACATAGACCAAAAATAGTGGTTTTGATCACAGGAATGAGATTACGAAGGAATTCATCACATACGAGTGTATTAATGTTTTATTAAGTAATTAAGGGGACACATCACAAATAGAAATATGCAACCCAACTGAAGCGAACCTGGGATTTTGGGGGGCGGCAGTACGGAAATCAGTCACAAAATCGGCCACTTCCTCGCCCAAATGATCGTAAGGCCCTGTCAGGAAAGGGGCGAGCAAGTCTGACAGGGCTGTTTGTTGCTCCTGGGTTTTCTAATGATTTCCGTGGAGCTTTGAAGTCCCGTCCATACACTCAGGGTCGAGACTTCATAGCAGATGCCGCTAACCCCAACAAGATGGCTACGACCGTGAAACCCTGGGCAGCGATCCGGGTGCGCATCATTAGTTGGGAGCGGTGGCTCTGGCCGCGGTGGAAGCAGTACAGGCCATAGCAGAGGGCAGCCGCCGTACCCAGACAGCCTGGGGAGGGACAACACACAGGAGGCAGCAGGTTGGGTCCTGCAGGTCCCTTGAGGACGTAGCCCACCCCGCTCTCCCACAGCCACGACTTGGAGACGAGGAGCGGGGAGAGGGTCGTTCCAGAGTCCGCTTCCCGCACCGTCCTTCCGTTACATCTCCGGTCCGCTCCCCTTTTCAAGACTTACCTGGTCTTCCCCCTGTTTCATTCCCCCACGAAACCCGTTCCTACAGCACACACTTACCTATGGGGACCATCGGATTCTCACGGGTCTTCCGAATAAACTTCTCCTTGAAGCCCTCCGGGTTGCTATAGACCGTGGGGCTGAAGCCCTCGATGACTGGGGCCTGGGACGGATTGAAAGGCGCCTCTGGACTAACAGGACGCGGAGCCGCCATACCCACCACGACAGGAACAGGTAGGACAAAATATCCGGACGCCGAATCCCGCCTCCCGGTAAAGTCACCACGAGGGCGGGACATAGTCTGCTGAGCGTACTACGTAGGCGCTGTTGTCCGTTGCATTCTGGGAGTTGTATTAAATCAACGTGAAGGCTCTATTAAAGACTACATTTCCCAAGAATCCCTGCGCGCTCTGGGGGACAGAGCCTGCTAACACGCGGCTTTGAGAGTGCGGTTTGGAGTTTGAGCAGTTGGTGCGGTAGTGTGCGCAATGCCCAAGGCCAAGGGGAAGACTCGGAGGCAGAAGTATGGTTACAACGTCAACCGAAAGCGTCTGAACCGGAATGCTCGTCGGAAGGCAGCGCCGCGGATCGAGTGGTGAGGGACCGGTTCTGAGGCAGGGGCCTCGGCTGGGCTGGACGGCGAGGTGACAGAGTCTCGATCTCTCTCTTTGCCGTTAGCTCCCACATCCGACATGCCTGGGACCACACCAAATCCGTGCGGCAGAACCTGGCGGAGATGGGGTTGGCCATGGACCCCAACAAGGCGGTTCCCCTCCGTAAGAGGAAGGTACTGATACAGCAAGGCACTTTGCTCGTCTCTGCATGAACCTTACTTTCCTTCCCCACCACCTTCCTTCACTGAGCCGAATTTCAGAATTTGATCGCCTCCACACACCCTTTCCATGTTTGCTTGCGACAAAGTCATTTCGTTTGCACTAATTCTGGTCAAAGCTTCTTAACGACCTCCTTCACTCACACTCCCTCTCCAGCACACAGATGGACTTGCTTTGTCGTTTTTTCTTCCTCTGCTTAATTTCTTCTCCGGCCTGTTTGGCATCTCAGTGGAATTTTCAAGAACGTGTCTTTTTCTACCCTTAACCCCCCAGGGCTTGAGATTTTTGTTTCCTATACTGTCTTTCTTTGGTTATCCTTTACCTGAGACATCTAGTTAATTCCCAACTGATCTTTCTGAACCTGAAGGTTTCAAAAATAGCACCTCACTTCACCCACTAGCCTCTTTCGTAGTAATTGTAAATACATGGTCATAGATTATTTATTTGCTTCTTAATCCCTTAACACGGTCCTGTGCTTTGTCCTCTGCTAAACTCCCAGAATTCATAACCCAGTAAATGGGCTTGATGAGTGAGTTTGGTCCATTGACTTCAGGCAAGTTTGCCTAAGTGGACACTTGCCAGCGGAAAATGTCACAACAGGTGTTTTTTTTTTTGTTTTTTTTTTTAAACAAAACATAAAGCTATAACTAAGCATGGTCATGTAAGTCCTCCCCATGGAAAAGATATCTGAGCTTGCTCCCTTGTAACTTCCAAAGCACCGGAAGTGTGCAGTATGCAGTGTTTCCCTGGATTACCACAGAGCAGAGCATAGATAGTCACAGAAAGATGAGTTGCTTGTTAAAAAAAATGTAGTGGGTGTGCGCATGAGCATCCCCTGGTGCCGGTGTGAAGGTCAGAGGATGGCTTTCAGGGTTGGTTCTCGGTGCACTGTGGATTCTAGGGATTGAACTCTGGTGGTCACATTTGCCTAACAAGCACTTTTACCTGATGATCCATCGTTATAGCTCTGCTTGTTTTTCTTGGTAAGGATTTCAGTTGCTGGGACTTTGGGGAGTTCTTGTTATGTAGTTCTGGCTGACCTCGGGCAGGAATTTCCTTACACTAAGTATAGCTCGGGTGTGATGGGCATTGTCCTTCCTTAACCCTGGCCAATCTTTCCCTGATCAAAGGTGCTTGTCTGGTGTTATCATAGCTCCATTCTTTACAGGTAAAGGCTATGGAGGTTGACACGGAAGAAAGACCCAAGGACCTGGTGAGGAAGCCCTATGTGGTAAATGGTGAGTGACCTCGTGAGTGCTAAGCATACACTAACCTTTTAGCTACCTCCATTCTGGTGGGTTTTTGTTGTTGTTTGTTTGTTTCACATCTCCTGATTTGAATAGACAGATGTTTGATATGAAATTACTTGAGTTCTGCCTTTTTAGCTTATCGTTAGCTGATTCACATAACAATTTTAACACAGAGCTGTGTGTGGTGGTGCGTGCCTTTAATCCCAGCACTTGGGAGGCAGAGGCAGGCGGTTCTTTGTGCATTCAAGGCCAGTTTGGTTTACAAAGCAAGTCCAGGACAGCCAGGACTACAAGAGAAACCCTGTCTCAAAAAAAAAAAAAAAAAAAAAAAAA